TACGAAGGTTTGTTGTTAGCCAGGTATTCGAAGATAGTGCTAAACATACGAAGGTTTGTTTGTTCGCCAGGTATTCGAAGATAGTGCTAAACATACGAAGGTTTGTTTGTTCGTTAGCCAAGATATTCGAAGATTGTGCTAAACATACGAAGGTTTGTTTGTTCGTTAGCCAGGATATTCGAAGATTGTGCTAAACATACGAAGGTTTGTTTGTTAGCCAGGTATTCGAAGATAGTACTAAACATACGAAGGTTTGTTCGTTAGCCAGGTATTCGAAGATTGTGCTAAACATACGAAGGTTTGTTCGTTAGCCAGGATATTCTAAGATAGTGCTAAACATACGAAGGCTTGTCAGGCAGCATTTAAGCAATGGCAAGTTCGTTTGTTTTTCTATATCTCACTGTTGTTAATAGAAACCTTTTGTCAATGTTTGAATAATACCCACACGTTAAGAGATACTCGTGGAAAATTCGATCTTGTGGTTTGTATAATGCCTATTACTTATACAACAGTTATTTATTATTATGTTTAATTATGTCAAAACGAACACGACTGTTAACCTGCTTGGAACAGTAAGTGTTAAATAAAGATTTGCTTTGCTTTCGTCAGCTGCAGTTGTTTTAATTGCAAGACTGTTGTAAAAAGCATCAAACACGTGTACGTAAACAACGTGAACTGTTATTTTTATTTGAAATATAAATATATGATCACTGTTCTATATAACATATTCATAACTGTTTTATTCATTTGTATGGGTTACGTGTAAAATCAAAGGGTTTTTAATGAAATATAAACTTGTAGTTATGGGGCTTCATCAGCAATTATAATTATGAGAATTAGTACTATAAAAGTTTTGAACTTTTGTTCGATAATGTGTTTCGAACTTTCGAAGGTCAAAAGCTACCCTTTGTTACGGCCTTACTTTCTGGTGTCAAAGGAAGTTACTTGTGGATCCGCGAATCTGTCACGAGACCCCAAATATTAGAAATGTAATGATTTTAACCTGTAAAAAGGTTGTCACAATTCATTGATCCGTTCATTTTCAAAGCTCGAATAACGTTAAATATCTGTACTTTGAATTTTCGGTTTAAAAACATAATTTCTGTCGCCAAAAAGGAAATCCGAATAAACTATTTGTGACCTTAATATGTACAGGGGTAAAGCGTGTGTCTTTAATCAGTGTTCTAAGATTTATACAAATGTTGTTAATAATTATTAAGGTTTACAACTGCGGTTCTCAAACTTTAGAAACCTGAGGACCCATTTCAATCTCCGACCTCCAAACCAATTGATGTATCTTGTTTTGAAAAAAAAAAAAGGTTCAGTATGCATGGAAAGCTGTATTCCAAAACTAAATATCTTAATTCATATAAATTGAATTTCACGAAAACATATTTTTTATTCTATAAATCATGTATTTTTTGTAAATATTTTTTATGATATTTCGGACATGACTCGCGGACCCCAGTCTGAGAAACGCTGGTCTACAAGATTTATTAACTTTTCTACTGATTTCTTGACTTAAAGTTATGATGACAACCCAATGGGGCAGAACCTTACAACCTACCTATGTGGAAAATAAACACAAACTTGCGTAGATCTAGTAAAACGGAACTATGGGCAATATAACAGGAACGAAAAAAACAAATGATATAACTGCTTTTCGTGCTAATAATTTGTTACTTTTCTCAACGTGTTATTGATGAATGTGAGGAAAAACTTTAAACGAAGTACACTGCAGTACAGGTGAATCAATGTTAACCTTTTTATATCAGCCTTCCACTTTAATTGTACAGCAAGACAGAGTAAATATTGTAGATAAAGGTGTTTTTATTGATGTTTAATGTTTTCAAATAAAGCGGGTCCGAGTGTGGTTCAGTGGTTTGTGTGCCGGACTATGACATTTGCAGGTACAGCGTTTGCATCCTGTTACCTCAAATAAATAAATATATATATAAATCGTGCACCCAAATAGCTTTGGGACCATGAGTGATTTATAACGGCGACGAACAATCCCACTATTCTGTCGGGTGAGAGTAGCCCAAGAATTGGTAGTGGGTGCTGTTGACTAGATGCCTTTCCTCTAGGATATAGGTTCAAAATCATGAACGGCTAGCATAGGTAGCCCTTTAGTAGCTTTTCGCAATTATCCAAAAACAAATAGTATATATTGCAAACAGTTAAATATGCTTGATTTACTAAGGTTCTTTTATTATAAAAAAAAACAATTTTACCGCGTCCTGTTCTTATAATAGTCCTGTTTGTTTAACTTGGGTACAGGACTTTTGTATACAAAGTAAAACTGGGAAACTATATCCTTATAACTGACCAGTTACTTTCATATATAGAAATTATCAGATATTCTTGACTCGAGTGTGAATTGTAAATTAGAAACGGGATTGTGGTATTCTCAGGTGCACTATTTTCTCCAGAATAACGAGTTTCATCAAAAAATTTTATGCACAGTTAAACTGTATTCCGTGACTTTGACTGAGTTGTGAAAGACAGATACTGGGTATATTATGTAACATTGTGAATAGTCTCTATTTATTCAAACAAACAGTCAAAAACAGAACGAATATGTAAGACAGGACGACGCCTTTTCTGCTGACTTTAAAGCTCTCAACAACATCTTCTGGGAGTTAGTGGAACATTTTGAGAAGAACTGTTCCAGGCTGAAAAAGCAAGAGGCAATAATGCCATGCTTTTCAAAACGTTCGTGCTACCCATGTCAAAAAATATAGGAGGTTGTGTTATCAAGGTATCGCCTGACCTTCCAGTCGAAAAAGAAATCACTGTCTACTTTCACACAGTATGTTCTAATTTGCAAAACTATTTCCCACGAGAAGGCACACGTAATACCACAGGTGAATGGCCCATAAAAATTATGAAAGGAGCTAAGTTACTTTGTTGACCATCCTTCTGTGATAAAACTTGTACATTATGTACGGAAATTTAAACAAATAATTAAATAGTGGAGGGGGGCAAAAACATAGTATGCCTGAATTGTATGCTAGGTAACTGATTATCTTGCACAGAGATAGCTGTTTGGAAGCATCAAAGTTGCTCCGCATACCTTAAATATTTCTAAACGCTAAAGAAAAAAACAAAAAAAACTGGGAAACACCAGAGCTTTAAATTATAAAAAACATTATATACATATAAGCTACATGGCAAGTTTGTGAAATAAAAAATCTACCTGTTTTAATAGTTTAAAGTACCCGTAACGCTCTCAATTCTACGAACTGTACACACATTTCTCTTTTTACTACATACATAATCAACATTATATATATTTCTATGATTACGCCTTTAACTTGTGTATCATTTTATTTAGCGGAAATCAGTAGGTGGCTTTTCAAAGCACGTTGGTTTCAAGTTTTAATCATGCACGTGCTTGCCCCTCGACTTCCTCTAGGTTTCAGATCTGCATGAAAGACTACTACTGTTCTTATCAATGATCTTATCGATCAGCTTCAACAAAAACAATAATTTCTTTAACTGACATGGATTATTACTGCAATTTGGGGTGGAATCTTATTTTTGCCTTTTTAATAATAGAAGTAAATTTACTGGTAAAAATTTACTTGAGTTTTGAGACATCTACTTGGCACACCAGGTAACGGTTGAAAACATAGATAGCCGGGGACAGCATAGCGGTTTGCGTACCCAGTCTGTGAATCTGAGAATTCGTGGTTTGCAAGCCGTTGTCGTGGAATGGGTATACTGTAAGAGTGACGATCATATCTCAGAGTTCGATCAGACAAGAGTTGACGGTGGGTGTTTCTGATTAACTGTCTTACCTCTAGTTTATCTATGCTCAGATAACCCTTGTGTATCTTTACGCGAAGTTAACCGATGAAAACTGTTCTATCGTTAGTTTCAGTTTTTTACTTCCTTACCGACGTATTTGTCTTCTTTTTAGTCAACGAAACTAAAGATGAAACTTAACTTTAAAGCTGCATTTAATAACTAAGTTATTAACTTCTATTAATTATATTAAGTTATTATGGGTCCCCCAGTAGGTCAGCGGTAAGTTTACGGTTTGGAATGCCCGATTCCACATGGTGAATAAATAGCTTTAATTGCTCTAAAACAAACAAATAAAACAAATATTTTATTATAATAGTTGGTTCTTTAAAGTGGCGGCATCTGTTGGTACAGACAAATATTTAACTGTCAGATTGTGTCTTTATTGGGTATTTGTCATATTTGTAAATTTTAATATGCTTTCATATACAGAATTTTATTTCCTTAACTTCTTTAGTCTGTTTCACTTTCCGTTTTTTTAATGTCTAGGGTATTTATTGTTGATAAAACTGTATTTAAAAATATAACATTTTGAGATGTACAAATTTTATATTTGTTAGTGGTTATGCCATTAAGTATCACATTAAATTTGCAGAAATAAGTCAGCAAGTATATCCAACATTTTTAGTAGAGGTTGTTAAGTGTTTACAGTAGTTTGGAAGGGAAAGAACACCGAATAATTAAAAATAGATTAAAATTGCAACGTTTTAACATGTGTGTGTCAATCCATTTGATTCATGGAATGAAACTGATATTTCTAATACCTAGCAGGTATATGTAAAATGGGATGAGACTTTCATCGTTGCCTGGGAAAAAAGTTTTTTGTGCAAAATTCGACTGGAAAGATATACCTTCATAAAAGACGTAACATTCTGAAACGTTAAGTTCCGTGATATTTCATAAAATGTATCTATATTTTTAGGAAGATAATTGTATACACTTATGAAATGTTTTAATTTATTGGGTAATATATATATATATATATATATATATACGA